AAAAAAAAAAAAAAAACCCTGCTAAAACGCAGTTTCAAATGCAATTACAAACTGTAACCCTGACTGCGCCCTAGTTTTCTCAAAAAAAAAAGAAAGAAAGAAGAAAAGAATAAGAGAAATACCATCTTGCCTAACTTACAGAAGGTTGCTGTGCCTGCCTACATTGGGCCAACATGATAACGTAAAGGGCTGCATTTTTCAGCTACAACAGTATATTGGGGTTGAAGAAGTCCCTCCCGCACATCCAGCAAAATGTTCATTATGACCCGATTGTCAGAAGGTGCTACTCCCCTTCGATAGACAGAAGCCTCAGAAACAAGGAGAGGCCCTATAACTGTAGGGAAGATAAAGACCCTGCAGCTATGGGGCACAACCATAGATCAGGAATCCCAGATGGACAGTGCACTCGTGTGGATCAAGATATCCAATCTGCTGTGGATTATGGGGAAGCACCCAAATTATTTATCCCCTTTTTTTTGTTCTCCTAAAGCGGAAATCTCATTACGTCCCCAGTGCCCAAGGCAACAATAGAACAGAGACAGTATCGAAAATTCCGGGGCTTGAAAATTCCGGGGCTCCAAGGCCTCTGCCCAAGTCCCTCCCTGTCGCACGGGCAAGAAAACCCTCGAAAGTTAACAAAACAGCAATCAAACAACAAAAGACGACGATACCTAAGAATTCCCAAAGAATCCAAACAGATGGCAAAGCCTCTTTTTTTTTTTTGGGGGGGGGGGGGGGGGACCAAAACACGCTCTAATCTATATTCGTGGGGAGCAGCACGTTCTGGGAACGGGGCCCACCGTCCCATATGCGAACAAATACAGAGCAAATTGAGAGACTGGGGCCATTTCCCACAGAAACTCCCATCCAACTCCTGGGGGTCTCCATAACTGCAGAAGGATGACCCACAATCAACACCAAATCGATAGCTCAACCGGCCTAGGAAAAACTGGCCTCGTGGAAAAACTCTAAGCAGGGGATTCTTTTTTCTGTTCTTTTTTCTATTTTTCAGGATTTCACCATTTGCTCCAGTCTATTGGTGGGGAGCGTCACCTGCTGGAAACGGGGTCCATAGTCCCAGATACAATCTCTCCGCGGGCATTGCTTGGCTTAGGGTCTCGTTCCACCACACTTGAACTCAAGGGTTGAATGGAAATTCTTCGTTCCACCCCTCCCTAATGATGGTGCCGACTTGTTTTCACTTCCGGACTCTCTAGGGCGCGCACTTGAAACCTGAGGGCGGCCGGGGCAAAATCGCACTTGAACTCAAGGTACCTCCCCGAGGTGCCTTGAGTTCAAGGGCCAGAGGATGTCGGCGGCAATAACGGTGTCGTATTTCATTTTTGAAATATCGCAAACTCGAGATCCAGGTCCATACGCTGGTCCATCCGTTTCGGCTGCCATCGCAACGGCTTGTGGCCCGTCGAAGGGTGCCGATCGGGTAGTTCCGTTTGGTACCCGAGGGCGGGGGGCGCCGGCGACGTGCAGTTCCAAGCGGCCGTTGGCCGGGGTAACCGTTGCCTCCAGCCGGTGGGGCTGCACGCATTACGACAATTTTGAATTCGAACGTATGATCCTGCCCGGCGACTGCATGCACGCACCGTGCGCTTGCGATGTTAAATATCACACGACCTTCTACACGCATGGTTGCGGATCATTGTGCGTGCGGTTGGTATGCGTTTTGAGAGGTCGCATGGCAGACCACCTCCGAAAGGTCGCCCTGTTGTGTGCCCTGCTGCTAGTGCTCTTCGTCATCGCTGTCCTCCGTGTGTTCTGTTCATTGCGGCGACTTTCGGAGAGTCGCAGCCCAAAATCGAAGAAGAAAGCAACGCACAGGATGGCAGGTGGGGAAGGTTCTGAGAGGTTCACGTATGGCATGGGGCCACGGTTGACGGAGGGTGCTCCCCACGTCACCCGCCCGCGCTTCGACCCTGCACTGTACGCCCATCTCCCACCGCATCAGCAGCCGTTGCCGGACAACGAAACTTGGGAGCCCCCCACGCCCGCATTTCCTCTTGCGTATGGATCGACGCAGTCCATGTCCGACGGTTTGGCAACACCCATGCATGGTTGTGGCGGCGACGGATCGATGACGTCCCTGCTGTTTTCCGAAGACGGAGATGTGGCGGGCCCTGCATTGGATCTGCATTTGTCATCGGGGGGGGGGAGGTCGGTCACACGAACCCTCCTAGTGAATCAGCAGGGGCAATCGGAAGGGGAACCTTCTGTGAGTGCCTTTGGCGGCCGCAGCAACCACCTGCGTGGTCATCGTGGGAGGTGGGCCGCCCGCTCAAGGAGTCGGTTATGGCGACCGCACTGCATTGTCGGCTGGTAGAGGACGCCCGTTGGCGGGGGGTGGTGGGCGCCACGCGACAGCGGATGTGGCCGAATCGCCCGTGTCGGGTTGTATGGAGAGGATCATCGCTCATGTTTCCACCATGCGCGCAGGCAGCGATGGGGACAGCACCGACAACGGCGAGATGTACGGCGAGGGAGATGGGCTCAACGACGACGACATGGTGGGTGGTGGAGAGGACGACGCGAATGTTCAGCCGCCGCCGACCGCAGAAGGACGAATCGATGGTGGACTTGGCAGGGGCAAGGGAAGGGGGAAAGCGAAGGTGCCAGGCGGGGATGCGGGGGTGGCCTCAAGCGGGGGGCGCACGTTCTGGAGCCTGGACGAGTCTCTTGTTCTCGTCCGGTGCAAGAGAGATCAGGATGAGGCTATGGTGGCTGCCGGGTCTACCTTCGCGCGGATTAAAACGAGAGAGTGGAAATGGACGGACATCTCCACACGGATGTCTGCTTACGGGGTGCACAAAGAGTGGGATGCCTGTATGAAGCGTTGGGAGAATGTGATTGGGTGCTACGGGAAGGTTTGGGATAGGGAAAAGGAGTCCGGTATGCAGTCTCTTTTCACAATGACTCCCAAGGAACGGGCGGAGAAGGGGTACAAGTTCCAGATGGACCGCAGGTTGTACGACGCTGTCCACGCTATGCAGCATCGCAGCCAGACCGCTCATCCTCCGAATTTGGTGGACACAGGGGCATCACAGCAGCAACAGGGTGGAGGGGCGGGGGCCGATGGTGTCCAAGGGGGGGAGACATCTGCGAGTGACAATTGCGAGGGGGGCGCCGGGGACACGAACGGGGTTGAGCCGTCCGGAGGCCCCAAAATCGTGAAGAGGAAGAGTGCTCGGCAAAACGCATTCGAAGCGGTGACCGACGTCATGCAGTCCCACTCGAAGGTGGTTGCGGAATCAGTCGATCGGGCCAGTAAACGGCAGTGCGAGGTGCTTCAGCGTCAGTGTGACATTATGGAAAGGGAGGTGGAGGCACAGGAGAAGCAGTGCTATGTCTGGGAATCCGGACAGCGAATGCTCTGCGATGCGACAATGGTAGGGGCTAGGTGAGCGGTCCACGAAGAACTGTCAGCGATCAACAAGGCCGACTGAAAATTTTTATTCTTTATTTTCGCCTTGCTGATTTTGTGTTCTTCTTTTTCGTTTTGTTATCTTTTTTTTTTTTTTTTTTTTCCCTCTGTAATTCCGCGACTGCCGTCCGTCACGTATAAAATCACTTGCCACCCGGGATGAGCGCACAGATCCGTGAGTTGTTGCGCACGTGCGGTCACCGTCGTGTGCGGAAGCAGTCGCCATCGCCGGTAGTGATCAGGTGGAGCTGGTAGCGGTTGTGTATTGCGTGGGTTCGGTGGTGGGGGCAAGCGATGGACGTGGTGGTCGTGTGCAGGGCCTGCATCCATCACCGCAGTGTCATGGTGTACGAGCTGCGCCACCGTAGAGGGGATACACGTGGGCGGGAGATGCAGTTCCGCCACGTGTGCAGCCGCAGCGATGTCCGTCATTACGAGGCGGRCAGTAATGGGGCGACATGCCTTCGTCTCACTGCGGGCCTGGGGTACTTAAGAAGAGCGCTACGGGAGGTTGTCATCTACACTGCGAAGGTGGGCAACCAGATTCCCAACCGGCGGGATGCCGACGTGGASGTGCTGCGGGAGATAGTGGAGGTCTTCGTCTCCAGCCTCGCCATGGAACACCAAGAGCGTCTGCATCATCCTGCATCGTACTCCGTCATCCTGGAACCGCCGCTTGAGGGGGGGGGGACCTGCATTGGGAAGTGGCGGTTTTACGAGATGACCTGTAGTGTGGATGTCTCGACGGCGAGAGAGAGAGAGAGAGAGAGACGGGAGGGGCGGGGGGGATTACTTTGCGTCATTGTTCGCATATGGCCTTCGTTGTGTAAGCACGGGCGTGGAAGGATAGAAGTTTTGTACGACCGTCGACAGTGGGTAGAATATGAGATTTGTGCTCTGTGCGTCGTTGTTCAAATTTTTGTTCAAAATTTGGGAACACTGTTTTCGGCATTGGCGTGATAATGAGGAGTTCGTTCATCGGTTTGTTCTGTGGTTCTCATCATTTTTCTGAATAAGTGCTTGCTCTGAGGACATCACAAACACGACAACAATGAGAAAAGAAACTGTGTGCGAAGATATGCAATAACACAAACCCTAAACCAAAAGCTTGCCTGATTTCCCTTTCTTAGCGCGTGTGAAAATGTTTTGATGATGTGGCATGGCTTGAACGAGTGGACAAGGAATGGCAGTTCGAGCACTCGCTGCTTAGCGGTAACCGGTTGTCTGCGCACGAACGGCTTACAGGGGCAGCAGATGAGAAACAGACGAAAAGAAGCAGTGATAAGAACGAATAACATTTCATACCA